CGCGACTGATGCTGAAACAAAGGCTATCCAGAGAAGTACAGCAGCGGAGGTGGCACAATTTTTCATCGAGAACGTTGTTCCGCGGCATGGTGCACCAAGCGTCGTAATCACAGACAGAGGAACCGCATTTACGGCGCTCTTTTGGAACAAGTCCTCATGCTGAGTGGAACAATCCATCGTAAGACCACCGCCTACCACCCGCAAACGAACGGGCTTACAGAGCGTCTGAACAAAACAATTGAAGACATGCTTTCAATGTACGTAGACGTCGAACACAAAAATTGGGACGAAATCTTGCCATATATCACGTTTGCATACAACACTGCCAAGCAAGAAACAACCCAGATGACCCCGTTCAGCCTAATTTACGGAAGGGAAGTATGAACCATGTTAGATGCGATGCTAGCGCACGAATGCGACGACATTGAACCGGACGCCGAGATGTTTACAAAACGAGCGGAAGAAGCAAGGCAACTAGCACGCCTGCGAATCCAGCCACAAGAAGAGTACGACGCGAGCCGCTACAATTCTTGCCGCAGAACAGTCGTTTACCAGACCGGCGACAGAGTATGGGTTTGGACGCCCATACGGCAACGAGGACTCTCTGAAAATCTCCTAAGGAGATACTTTGGGCCAGATCTAGTACTGCGACGACTGAGTGATGTTACTTACGAGGTCGTCCGTGACAGTTCATATAGTACGAGGCTTCGCCAGCACCGTCCTGAACTAGTTCACGTTGTGCGCATGAAGCCTTATGAAAGGTAGTGACTGCGCAAGACACTTCCTAAAGAACAGGCAAAAAAACTGCACTACTGGTTTAGCATCGGGGCGATGCTCATTAAGAGGGGGGCAAATGACGCGTGTGTACTGGTGGACAAAACGACGATAAGGGGATTTGGCGGACACCAGGTAGTGGAGCGCTGGCTGATGAAAGAAGAAGAAGGCGATCTTGCTGCTCGGCTGCTGCGAGTCGCTGTGTCAACGCTTACCTGCCTTTGGTTCACGCTGTACCGCGACAATATATTTAATGAAACCATGGCAGATGTGGTATATGGGCAATAAGCATTAAAAATGCACCCTATAAGAACCATGCACAAATTTAAAAGTGATAGTGCTCTTTACTGCCTAAGGGGATCCTTGACGAGTGAGGACTCAGAGGCGCATGTATTAAGCTGAAGCTGCTGATAGTTTAATTTTCACCCATATAGCTGAGGACCGCAAACAAAGACTTACATTCGACAAGGCATGTAAGTTTCTAGTGCCCCGCCGCGTAAAAGTGGCTGTTCATCTTTATTAGGCTCGCTCTTGCTCTGTCTGCTGCCACAGCCATTTGGCCGAAGCACATAAAATATTACTTCTAGTTTATACCAGGTAATACGCTTTACCATTACAATTTTATCTCGCGGAGAAGCACGACAAATTAAAGGAACCGCTTAAAGTCCTACAATACTTTTGATAGATAGTATATATCACCGTGTAACCAAATAGTATCAAAAATACTATCATACTGTAGACTCATGAGTGCGTTTATTCGCAGAGGGACTTTTAACAAAGCGGAGAACATTAAAGCCCCACTGAATACGCCCATGGTGACAACGATGACGTCTATGTCTCAGTGGCGGGCTGTCGCCGCGCTTGTGGTCGGAAGCAGCAGAGACAAACATCTTCCATGCCACGTACGAGAAAAACAAAATGTTAGTGGTTACCCAATCATCCACATAGATGTTTGGTTGCCATCGAATGGCCTGGTTTGAGCGTTCTGGTGTATACACGAGTTTACTTGTGGAATACACCAGAACGTACTGCGGCTGATAATTACGAAAACAGCGCTATGGTGCACGACAGAACATGAAAGAAAACACGAAGTCTTTTGTGTTTTCATCTTACTCCTTCGCGCCATTTCGTTATTATGAATTCTTTCCAACTAGTCTATTTATTTGTCCTTCTGAACGCGACGTTGTACCGTATTTTGGACGCTACGCAGAATGCAGTGCGTGGTTGATATGTGCTAACGAAACAGTAGAAAACATCCCAGTTTTCTGAAAAGAAAAACCAGCCAGGCAGTACCTTCCGGGCTGGCACTCAAATTAGGTACAAACACGATGTATAAAAACCCCAGAGCGAAGCTCGCGCACCTTTTTCACTAGTGATCGAGAGAGAGTACGCCAGGAACCTGCAGGTAAACACTGCGTGTATAGCCGACCACAGACGGACAGTCTCTAAGTGGCCCCAGGGGCGCAAATGGTGATCCATATAGGCTACAGTCCCCACAAGAACATGCAAAGCAGGTTCGTGACACCTTGACGACCTCTTAATTTTAGTAGCTTTGAGAAGTAATGAGGTGACTGTGGTGCCAAGGGTAGACGTCCCTGTCACTGCGCATTTGTTGCGCATACTTTTAGAACCTATAGAAATCTTCGACAAAGAAGGACGACACTAAAATTTATTAGTCTACCAGATTGCGGCTTCCCCTATCATCATTCTTAACAAGAACTGAGGTTGTTTTTTTTGTTTTTACAGCGAAAGTTGTATATGGCTAGGAGAAATAAAATTGCGTCCGGCAGTGGCGTTACGAGCACTCTTCATTGGAAGTCCCATCAATTCCGTTATTAACAGCGTCGTACACAAGCACGCGAGTCATTGGCTGTGTTGCAGGTGACGCTGTTCATCTTGTCGCAGCTGTGGCGCCGAGCACGCACGCATCAGTAGATAGTTATAGTTTAGCGGGATTAGCAGAATAGTGGGCGTGAGAAAATACTGGGATCGAAGTGCGCATGCGCTGTCCCGTACCTTCCTTATGACTCACCACATGCTCGCTGTTTTTCAGATTTATCGTTACCGTTTCAGCGAGGTGTACTTAGTGTACGTGAAACATGACGGTTGTTTCGCACACCCGCTTCAACGATATTTTGGCGTTGTTGTTGAGAGATTCGCCTCCTTCAGAGCAGACAAATGTTTCAAATGGCTTCGCTTGCCTTCAGTTAGCTTTCATGACACGTATTCTGGGTAAGTTAGCGTAGGTGTTGAGATAGCTTCGCATTTCGAACGTCTCTATGCCTAACCAGGAAATCATGGTAAAGAAATCGGCAATATTAATATTTTTGAATTGCTTGCGGGATTCATATTTATTTATTTCGATCGTTACAAAAAGCTGTAACATTACTGCGCGTGGTGACAAATGATTCTCCTTTTTTTTTCTTTTCGATATTCTTCAACTTATTCACTCTCGGCTAAGTGGGCTCCACCATCCTAGCAAGGGCACTTAAATCTAGAAATAGTCATCCCGCTAAACTATAAGTTGCTATCCGCAACGAATATTTGTTCACGGTACTGTTACTCTCTTCACCCCCATTATCACACCAACGGTAAACTATGACTGTCTAAGTTCTCCTGAGACCTTCCTCATGGGCAGGCCAAGGAGAACTCTAGAAGAGCGTTGACAGTGGAAGCATCATAGTGCTCACACTTGCCGGTCGGGTGGTTCAGTCCTGGCACAAATCATGTTCGGGAGGGAGAGTGCCAGCAGCAACTGCGTACTAATGATCCGGCAGTCTTCTAAGCAGCGCTAAATCGAGAACGGGAATGCAAGTGCCGGTGGCGGCCGCATCCTGCAGTTAGCTCGCGATGTCAAACGCTTGCAAGAACGCCACGCCGAACAATGAATTACTGATTTTCAAAAGGGTATGATAAAGAAGACCCTCCCCCTCCCCCCCGAAAAAAAAAAGAATTTGAAACTTTGACATCCAAAGAATTCGGTGTGTTCTGAGGAACAGACTTGTGCAAGCCATACATCGAATGGCTGCTCCATGCGATTTGAATGCTGCGCCACAGTACAACGCCAGCCGTCGGGCGTAAGCCTAATGCGCGCATGAAACTTCCTTTTTCTCGAATGGCGTACTTTGAAAATTTCTCAACTTTGTTGTATCTTCTCTAAAATATCCTGAATTGATTTCGATGGAACGTTGCACACACAAGCTACAATAAGTGGGAAACAATTCGAATTTAAAAAGTTACCAAGTTCGTAAAAAGTGTTGGTGAAAAGAAATGTAACCAGAAAATGCACCCTCTGTGGCTTTTTGTTTGCAGTATATTTACTTTTTTTTCTCAAATATATTATAAAGAACCTAATATAATTAGTTCAGCTATATTGTATGGGCCTCCACAGTAACACGGCCTAATATCAGTTCATCAGTTTTGGGGGTTGCAGAGAAGAGGTACATTGAATACGTGAACCCACTTTAAGATTTGGGATCAAGGAATAGGATGGATAGGCAATCTAGACGTCTAAAAACGCTGCCACGTGATAACCAACGGCAATACCTGTGATACCGTGAAAGTTTATGTGATTCCTTGTACCAGTTTCCAAAATAGTACTTACAAACTGACACACACACTTTACCCTCCCATACTCACCTAGAAAAGGGGTAAAGGCGCCTAATTTCTGTCTGCGTAAAGGCGACAAGGCGCAGTGTCTACGCCGAACAAGTGGCGTTGCGGCGTGAACGTGATGATTACGGGAGTGCGTTCGCCGGGTGAAACGCCCGATATTGGCGGTAATTTCTCCAACGGCGCTCTGGCTTCGACTGCGACGTCTGTCATTGCCTGCGGTTTGTAAACAACTAGTGTGGTCAACCCAATGCTAAACGTATTGCGAAAAGCAATTAACTGCTAGTTACACTCCTTTATTACCGTCATCATGCGAAGACCAGTTTGTGGCATGTGAAATAAACACTGTGATTAACTCAGGCCAAACGTGGGTAACCAAAAGTTGCGACACTATTCAGTGCCCCGTCGGGTTGAACCCTCTGCGAAACACCTGGAGCACGTGTTTCAGATTTTAACTCGTTAAACATGTGTGTGGAGTGCCTGGGCGATCATTTTTTTTTATCTGTTGTACAAACAACCAAACCTGGTGCAGATATCTCGCATAGGCTGCTTCACGAGGAGTGAAATTTTCTGGCTCTGTAACGAATGAAAAAATTTTTTTTTCTGTTTGCTAGAACGAATACGCAGCTCACAAGAGGAGTTGAAGTAGAGTTCGAGTTGTTTTATGAGTACTACCGTTTGGTTATTGCTCTGAATCTTGATCCACGAGGTAAGAGCATCATATTTGGCATATATCATATAAAAGATGCATGACATCCCCTTCTGGTACACTGGCTTGTAACACTGGCAATACACTGGCTGATACACTCGCTGATACACTGGCAATAAGTCCGTCCTTTGTGTTAGGAAAAGACAGAATGCAGAAGTGTGCACCATGCATGATTCTATATTTAAGTCATTAGTTCTAAGTGGTTCCTTCATGAACTTTGCAGCAAAACAGCGCATATTACGGGAAAAATTATATTCAAGACAGAGTGCTGATTATCAACTGATTTCTTTATTGCGAATGCCAAGAAGTTATATAGGAAGGTGTACAATCCTCGAAAAGTCCATAGCCCAAACGCTGTCGAGTGACTCAGTCGGATGGCATTGCTGTTAATTTGATAGGGGTTAACGAAATGCCAAAAAATCGATTAATTTTCAGCGATGGGTCAAATATATGACAATAAACAACATCAGGGCCTTTGAAACATGACTTTATTTTCTTTATTTTCACGAATGTTTAGTTCATTGTCTCGCAAACAGTATTTTGAGTGCATGCTGCCAAACAGAATCACGCATGGAGCACCACTTGAAGACGTAGGACGACTAAGTGACGTTGCCACAGTGAGGGGGGAAGGTGCGCTTCTCATCTCAGACAAAACCTATCGCTGGTGAGGGAAGCATGTGTTGATGGATCACATTTGCATCCACTTCAAGTGGCAGCATACGCGGTCAAGAAAGCCGCTGCTAAATGGCTAAAACAAACGTAGCTATAGGTGTGGTAGTCCAGCTTTTGCTGAAAGGTAGTCCTACAACATTCGTACTGTATGTCTCATATGCTTGTATGTGAGAACATGTACGCCAGGTGTGTTCAGTGCAGCCTTCATGGAGGTCATTTCATCCTATCAACTGCACGGACTCATGGTTCGAAGAAGGTGGCAAACCATAACACTATTGCATATTCTCAGACTAGTATGGGCATGCTGCTAAGCCAGTCTACAAAAAAGATCCCCTGGTATGTTCTGCCTGGAACTATGCCATTCGACATTGAGACACTTATTACTGTAATCGCAGTCACCGCATTTAAAAAGTTGTAAACCATACATCCACCTCACAGGAGCAGGAATAATATTATTAGGTCCTGGCTAACCTCCCTATTCTTCCTCCTTCCTTACTCCTTTTTATTAAACCCTGCATGCTGAGGAAACCCACGGTGTTAGGATAACTGTGCGAAGAAGGTACTTGTGAAGACGACGACGTACATGGCGCTTTGACGGTCGGCACAGTTAAGTCAGCGTTATGAAGTATGAAGGCGGTTCATGGTGGCAGAGTGGCCATAATAAGGAAAACCAGCATTGTCAACGTCCGCGAGGCATGAACTCTCGTCTGTGCTCTGTGATGTCTAAACGTTAAATTCCCTAGGCTCAGTATTCTAGACATTTCCCTCATTGAAATGGGTTCTCAAAGAAAACTATGTATACACAGATGTGCTTGGTCGTACATAGTATTTAAAGCTTTACACAGCGTAGCCGCTGATAATGTCATACCACATTTATTTGCTGCGGGATAAGGTAGGCTAGTCGTTGCAGTTGCGAAAACCTATGGCACGAATTGACTGGGTGGCCATCTCGCCTGTTTGTGAAAGCAACCGCCACGAATCATGAGTACAAATGGGCTCAAGGGCACGACGACTTCACAAGATTTAACAGCGCTGAAGTGCTCATCATACTGTGGATTTTTCAAGCGTACAACGAACTATCCCTCTATGATGAGGTCCAGCAGATGAGGTTCTTGCTGATTGCAATAAAACAATCGGATGCAGATAAAAACGTATAAGAAGCTATACAAGCCAGAACTTTTCTGAGACCTATGTGACTTAACAAAATATCTCGCCAGTTGTTGTGCAAGTGACAGAAGTAGCACTTTGTTATCTATATATTGGCACACACTATAAGAAAAAAAGCTGTGAGTATTAAGAAAAGCAGTTGCTATGTGAAAAACTACAATATAATTAGGGAAGAGCAAGCGTCTGAGAAGAAGCACCTAAACAGGTGCAGTGCTGCGATAAGCAAAATAAATAAATAATAAAATGGAGTGAAGCTTTTAGGAGGCAAAACACCAGAATTCAGTGCCGTAATTAAGAATTAATGCTGAGTTCATACCTCTAAAGATGTGTGCTACTGAGGACAACGCAGTTGCTTCTTGTTTGTCTAAACTGTCACATCGTTGAATTGTCAACGAGAGGCACACCCTGTCATGGCAGCCATAAAAACAAAGTAGTCGAAACTGTAAAAAAACTGTTTCCAGCGTCCGCAGCGCGTTTAAGCCCGTTTTCTTACACTGGAAACGCTGCACGGTGTGTCCCAGTGTACTACAGCACTCTGAGAGCCACTGGCACACCCTGTACAACGTAGCCAGTGTCACCAAGTGTGCTGAAACGCACTGGACCACACTGTACAGCGTGGCCCAGTGTCTTGCAGCGTGCTGAGAGGTGCTGGTCACGTTGTACAGTGTCTACACGCCCAACAGGAACACTGGTGGCACATTGAAAGAAGCTAGGCGTGCTTGGTGCACTTTATATAAGACTTCATGTTTGATTGAGAGAAGCCAAGCGTAAACCTTGCCGAATGTATTCAAAGTTACATTATTTTCTCTGTGTTACGTATACGTGGCTTTAGTTTTTGTTATGCGACAGATGTGCGGCTACGCTAAAGCAACCATCTCTCGAACGCACATGTGCGCTTTCCCCGAAGTGTAATTTAGTGCGTCAACCAAGTTCATAAACCACATCAAAACAACTGCAGCTCACTTGCAACACAGTGTGATAATAGTAATAGTAAGATCATCCAGATCATCCTACTCTAGCAGTCCGTCGTTCCGGCTCGTGTCACAGAACGCCGCACGTCACCCACAGCAGAGGAGGGGGAGTGATTTTAAGTGAAAAGAAGATAAAAGTGAGCCCCGTAACCATCCCTCATGCGGAGGACACCTCAACAGTACCTCACGGGGGATGAGGGTAGAAAAGGTATAAAAGGATAGGATTAAATTTGTAAAGATAGAGAGCGAGGCGCAGAGATAGCGAACGATGGAAGTAAGAAGAAGACAGTAATTATGGACACGATTGCAGGAGTCCGCAGACGGGGCATCACTGGCGAGAGCTCTTGTTGGCTTCAGGACATGGCGTAGGGCTAACCCAGCGCGCCGTCGTCGTCGTCAGGGACCGACGTCAGGAAGTGGCGTAGGACCAGCCCAGTCGGACAGAGCTGCACTGTCGTCGGAGATCGCGATGGCACAACGGGTCGGCACAGAATTCTGCGAGCGGTTAGCCACTGCAACACCTACTTTTGGTGTTTTAGCTTGCGATTTGCGTATTCGAAGGTGAAAATATAACCCCGCTTAACTCTTTCGTGCAAGAAACTCCATTTTGAACGGTAAACAGAGTTTTATTGAGGAAATGACTACACCTTTCGCAGAAAATGACCTTTTCGGAAAAAACAAAATATTGGCAATTTTAGTTCAAAAGTTATGATGTAGTAACCTCAGACCTGAGGTGACCAAATTGGTGACAATGCTGGTGACCACCTGTATGGTAGTTATGGCATAACAGTAAAGGTCTACTGATCACTTTTGGTGAAAGTGCAGCTAATATTTTTTATACTCCTTAGCGTTAGCTGATCATATGACATGCTCTTCTGCACTGTCAACATAATATGGGCAGCACATTACTTTATATCTATAAAAATGTCTTGGGTGCTCCCCCTCCCCAAAACGCATTGAGAACGGTGGCAGCTGGAAGAAACACATGTAACATGTCCGATTGAAGCCCAAAATAATTGGCGTCTTTTTGGTCAAGTCTACAAGAAGCTTTGAAATATGCGTCATCTAATGTCCAAGAGGCGTGGCTCACGTGTTCTGACAGAAATAAAATAAAGAAAAGGTGGTTAAGTGGGGTGGACACCATGCTGAAAAGAGTTAGGTTTAACGGTTGTTAGACTTTTTCGCAACCGAGTATCAACGATCATCACAGTGACCGTGGCACACAAAGTACGTACGCTAAGCCTAATTGTCGTTTCGTCTGGAGTGAACTGCTGCGGCTATATTACGCGGAATGGAAACGAAGAGGACAGATCAAAATTTCAAATAGGTGATGAACACTATGGTGTTGAGTTAGCAATTTAGATACCAGCTGTATTGTACATACTTATGATTAACCACTTAGCGAGTAACTCTAATTGTCATAACACATCTGCGGTTATCCTTATAAGTTTTGCGGCAAAACGTGTCAGATATAATTGTCATCCAAGGTAGCCCCTAACAAGTACAATAACAATAGCCTGGTAAATGCGCGCAAACATGAAGACGCTGAAATCTCTGCGTTATACGTGACAAGTGCGAAATGTTAAATACCGGAATCATTTAACACGAGGAAAAAGTACGTGCGATCTCGTCGTGCTGGTCTGGCATAGCGAGTAGCGGTTCGAACTCGGTATGTATAGTGTGTACAGGTAGCAGGTTGAACTTTTTACATCGAAAGCTGTTATGAGATCACAACTCGGGCCATGCGCGGTTGTCCGGCGCGCTGGTGTTCGTAACCACATAGCACGAAATTAGAAAAAACAAAAACCTAGCACCAACAACAAAGCGAAGCTCGAAACCCGGGTCTGCTAGGTGCCAGCCCAGTATTCTACCACTGAGCTACACCGGTGCTTGTGACTTGTTGGTAAAGCTAGCACCAAAGACAAAGTGGGGCTCAAACCCGGGTCCGCTGGGTGCTAAGCCAGTATTCTACCACTGAGCTACACTTATGTTTTTTTACGTGGTATTTATGGCAATGTGTTAAAATTACCATTTAAATTCAATTAGATGAACATTTAACATTAAAAATTAAATTTAAATTTTGTCCGCTTAATATATTAATAAACAACGCCCTATAGGCTAATCGGAGGCCCAACTCCGTACTCTCTAGACCCTTAATTAAGGGGGTAATCAGCAGAAGTCTCATTTCAT